CTGAGGGACTGCAGCTTTGACCTGCTCCACCCCTCTGTGGAGGGTCTCACCAAGCAATAGCCAGGTGCCAGCTGCATCCAGGAATGCTTGTGGGATCTTGCTGTTGTCAATGCCCAGAGACTGCAGCCAGGTGCCAGCCCGCCCCAGAAAAAGTTCATGAAACAGTGTAGCAGCAGCACCTCAGGGATTATGGAAAATCACAACACACATCTGGTACCAGGCTTCACCCCCAATGACCTTGTTCCAGCACCAACGAATGTGGCTGTTCTCTGAGGTCTGCTTGGCCCAGGTGGCCTCACAGCCTCTACCAAATGTTCTCCTAACAGTTCAACTGCTTCTCCCCATGTGGCCGGAGAACCTCCCAGACCCTACTCTGCTCCTGGGGATTCGCCCTTTCCACCAGAGCATCGCCAGGTATTGAGCTGTGGTGTTTCAGACTCTGCATTCCCCCCTGTTTATAGTCTGAATGGAATTTAAATCCTCTCCTTTCTCCCTTTTTACTTCAGTCCCTGTGGCTGTTTCCAATTTTTCACTTTCTCTCCAGCTGCTTTTGGGGAGGGGTGCTTTTCCCATATTCTCCCCCTGCATCTCTGTCCTCTTTCTGCCTGAAAAAGCAGCTCCCTGCCCTACGTGGCTTCTCTGTCCCCAAGTTCACCTCTCCACACTGCGTACCTGCTGAATTTTGTGGTTGGATTCTATATATATTCTATATTGTTTATTTCTGCTCTAATCTGTATTATTTCTCTTCTGCTGCTGGCTTTGGGTTTATTTGCTGCCCTGCTTCTAGCTCCTTTAGATGTGCGGTTAGGTTGTGTATTTGGGATTTTTCTTGTTTCTTGAGATAGGCCTGGATTGAAATGTATTTTCCTCTTTGGACTGCCTTTTCTGCATCCCAAAGAGTGTAGGCTGTCATGTGTTCATTTGCTTCCATATAATTCTTTAATTTCTTCTTTAATTTCCTGTTTGACCCATTTATTCTTTAATAGGATGTTCTTTAAACTCCATGTATTTGGGTACTTTCCAATTTTTTTCTTGTGGTTGATTTCAAGCTTCATAGCGTTGTGATCTGAAAATATGCATGGTATGATCTCAGTCTTTTTATACTTCTTGAGCGCTCTTTTGTGACCCAGTATGTGATCTGTATTGGAAATTGTTTCATGTGCACTTGAGAAGAATGTGTGATCTTCTGCTTTTCTATGAAAAGTTCTGAATATATCAGTTAAATACATGTGGTCCTGTGTATCATTCAGAGCCATTGTTTCCTTATTGATTTTCTGCCTAGATGGTCTGTCCATTGTTGTAAGTGGAGTATTAAAGTCCCCTACAATCACGGTATTATTATCCACACATTTATTTATTTTTGTGATTAATTGATTTATACATTTGAGTGCCTTCATGTTGGGGGCTTAAACATTTACAGTTGTTAGGTCTTCTTGATGGATAGACCCTTTAATTATGATATAATGCCCTTTTCATCTCTTGTTAAAGTCTTTGTTTTAAAATATAGTTCGTCTGATATAGATATGGTTACTCTAGCTTTCTTTTGATGTCCAGTAGCACGATAGATGTTTCTCCATTCCCTAACTTTCAATCTGCAGGTGTCCTCACCTCTAAAATGGGTCTCCTGTAGACAGCATATAGATGGATCTTGGTTTTTAATCCATTCTGATACCCTGTGTCTTTTGATTGGGTCATTTAGTCCATTTACATTCAGAGTGATTATTGAAAGATACAGATTTATTGTCATTGTGTTATCAGTAGGTCTGGTGCTTGTGATGATGTCTATGGTCCTTTGTAGTCTTTGCAGCATTCCATTCAAGGAGTCCCTCTTAGGATCTCTTGCATGACTGGTTTAGTGGTCATGAACTCTCAGTTTTTGTTTGTCTGGGAATGTCTTTATCTTTCCTTCTATTCTGAACGACAGCCTTGCTAGATAATGGATTCTTGGTTGCATATTTTTCCTATGCAGCACATTGAATATTTCTTGCCTCTCCCTTCTGGCCTGCCACGTTTCATTGGACAGGTCTACTACCCTTATGTCTACCCTTGTATATTAAGGCCCGTTTGACCCTAGCTGCTTTGAAAATTCTTTTTATCTTTGTATTTTGCCAGTTTCACTATGATATATCATGGTATCGACCTGCTTTTGTTGATTTTGAAGGGAGTTCTCTGTGCCTCTTGGACTTAGATGCCTGTTTCTTCCTTCCCCAGATTAGTGAAGCTCTCAGCTATAATTTGTTCAAATAAACCTTCTGCCCTGGTTTCCAGCTCTTCTTCTTCTGGACCTCATATGATTTTGATATTGTTTCATTTTACGGAATCATTTAGCTCTCTAATTCTCCCCTCATGATCTAGTTATTTCCTTTCCGTCTATTTTTCAGCTTCTTCATTTTCCATAATTTTATCTTCTGTTTCACATGTTCTCTCCTCTGCTTCTTCTACCATCACTGTCTCAGCATCTAGTTTATTTTGCATCTCATTTATAGTATTTCTTAATTCATCATGACTGTTTCTTATGTCTTTGATCTCTGCAGCAATAGATTCTCTGCTGCCATCTATGCTTTTTTCAAGCTCAGCTATTAGTCTTATGACTGTTATTCTATATTTTTCATATAATATATTGTTTATATCTGTTTCCAACAGTTCTCTGACTGTCATTCCTTCCTGGATTTTCTTTTGAGGAGAATTCTTCTGTTTAATCATTTTGGCTATATTCCTGTCTTTTATGTGTTTTAAAAGCTTGTTATGTGTCCTGTACCTGTGAGTACTACTATATTAAAAAAAGGGTCCTACACTATCCAGACATTGGCACTTCAGGAAATGTTTTTGGAATGTGTTGCATGCGCTCTGCTGTTGTTGCATTTTGGCTGCTCTAACCCACTGGTCAGTCCTCTGCAAGGCTTCTCCTTGCTTGTCATGGCAAAGTGTTTTGACTTCAACCTGGTGTGCTTTGATTTGTTTCTTGAAGTAACCCTGGGATAAAGGAAAGGTGGGGGGAAGCTGATCCTATATAAAGAGAAAAATCAGGGGCGCCTGAGTGGCTCAGTTGGTTAAGCATCCGACTTCGGCTCAGGTCATGATCTCAAGGTCCATGAGTTCGAGCCCCGCGTCGGGCTCTGTGCTGACAGCTCAGATCCTGGAGCCTGTTTCGGATTCTGTGTCTCTCTCTCTGACCCTCCCCCGTTCATGCTCTGTCTCTCTCTGTCTCAAAAATAAATAAACATTAAAAAAGATTTTTAAAAAAAATAAAGAGAAAAATCAAAGGGAGAAAAGAAGATGAAGCAGAGAATCAAATGAACTATAACGTTTAATCCAGAGAGAGAGAAAGGAAAATAAAGAAAAAGAAGAGAAAAAGTGTGAAAAGATTAAGGTAAAAATGCCTGATTAAGCAAACAAAATAGAAAAAAAAATATTTATATATATAAAATAAGAATTGACCAAAAAACAAATCAGAATCTATGAGCCTGATCCCAAAAGAAAACAAAAGGGTAGAAACAAAAAAGAGAACAACAAACAGACAAAGTGACCGACAAACAGACAAAAACAAAAAACAGTTGTCTCTTGGTGGCTGGCACCGGTGGCTGTGCCGGTCTGGAGGAGCGGCCATCTGGTTGTCTCAATGTCAGTTTTCCTCCAGTAGATAAGCAGTTGCCAGGCACGGAGCGGTGGGTTTGGTGTAAGCAGGTCTTGCCTCCATTGGGGGCTGCTGTGTTGCTCACTGAACCTCCACATGTTCATGGAGGTGACATCCCATTTTCCTCTCACTGAACTGGGTGTCTTAAAGCATGTTGTTCATGCAGCCCTCACAGAGTAGTGCAGGTCAGCCTACCCTGTTCCACAGTCTCCCACACTTTCTAGGCCCTTGGCTGGGATTCAAAACCCAATGTCTTAAGGGGCCTGCACCCTTTGGACCCTGTCCTGGTGTAGTGCCCCTCAGCCCTGCTGATAAAAAGCCTTTGGCTGGCGCCTGCAGGGTCATTTCTCCTTGAAGAGGCAATAAACCCTCTTCCCATAGTGCTCAAGGAAGGGGACTGTTCTCTCCCAGTGTGTCCCTGAGATTGCTACAGTGCCCCGGGGCAGCTCCCTCCCCCACAGGCACACACATGGGATCAGCTCAGGTTAGAAGAAAGTCATGTACTTTTGAGACCTCTGAGCTTCAGCTCCTAATGCTGTTTGCAAAATAGAAACTAGCACTCTCTCCGTGCCTCGTTCCCTAGTCATGCTCTGAGAGGTTTCCTCTTGTGCTAACTCAATACAGCAATTCCACAGCCCCTTCGGCTTTTTCTCCCTTTTGTCTCTCCACAGAAGGGGTTCCCTCCTTCCCTGCCTAGGCCATTTTATCTGCCCTAATTCACATACACGCACCTCCATCCTGCCAAGCTGTCCCCCTCCACCTGTGGAGATCCTTCTGCCACTCTGCAGATTGATTTCCTGGTATTCCAAGTGATCTGACCTTGATACTGCTGTGTTTTAGGGATGAGGAAATCCCAGTTCCTCTACTTCTCTGCCATCTTAACATCCTTCCCCCAAAATACTAATATTTTGAAATATCGGGGTATATCAGAAATACCCCATTTGTTATGGGTATAAGTTTTTTTGTTTCACATAGGCTTTAAACTTCATGTGAGGAATGGGTTTTTATTTTAGTTTTTTTATTACCAATTCCTATCAGTATATTTGCCATATAAAATGTAAATATTGATTAAATTACATGATTTTCTGTGTATTTGATGAACTGTTTTAAATTTTATATCTTGCTTCCCAGACCTTTTATATTTCATTATTGGAGAAAAAAATGAATGTGGTTGTTGATGAAAAGAAATTATTTGAATATAGTTAGTTTTTTGATATGGTAATTCAACAAGTAATGAATTCTGAAGCAAACATTTTATATTTTGAAATAGACCTAACCTTTTTATTATATAATATACAGTCTTTTAAAAGTAATAAAGTACTTGGGGGTAGGTAAAGAGTTTTAAAACTTTATTTTTAAAAATCAGTTCTTCAGGTGCTGGGAATGTAGCTGACCGTGTTCTGGCTCAGCTCTTAACGGAAATGGATGGTATTGAACAGTTAAAGAACGTGACAATTTTGGCCGCTACTAACCGCCCAGATAGGATAGACAAGGTAAGAAAGAAAGCAGTGTGAGTGCTGTGAAAACAAGAACTGGATCATTTGATTATGTTAGTTTTATTTTTTCTGTCAGATTACTTTGTAATCAGTTTTTAATTTGAGGATACTGAAAATCTTAAACTAAAGGAAATAAAGGGAACGGAGGAAAGCTTTTATGTTTTCATTGCTTATGATTTGATATTAATGAAACTCTTTTATAACCCCTTGAATTTTCCCTCCATCATTGTTGCATCAAACTTTCAGAGAGAGAATTGAAGTTCTGAAATTCTTTTTTTGTTTGTCATCTGATTTATTTTTGAGAAGTTTTTAACATTTTCCTTCATGTTAAGGTAAATTTCTGGCTTTTTAGTATCAGTTACACTCAAGTTATTATCAACAACTTACTAGAATTCTTGGCCTAGCAGTTGCTTTCAGAGTGATTAGAATAGAAATGACCATGGATTTTATCTCTCTAAGAAATTAGGTATGGCATTAAACTCAGCAAAACTGACTCTTTCAAGCCATTGCTACCACTTATTCTCCCTAGGTCTAGTTTAATAAAGGGAATCCACTAAATTTTAAATGCCTAATTTATACTTAATGTGTAAATTTTTTGTAAGGATTTAAATTGAGTGTAAAAATTTTCTCCTGTAGCATGAACCAATTTTTCTTTTTTTGTTGTTCACATTATTGCTTCATATATATCACCTTATGAGCTCGTCCCTCCCTCCCTGTGTATATATACACAGACTTCCAGTTTTAAAAATGGGAATTAGAAAAAAATGATACTTTTGAAGATATAAAAGGAGCTTTTATGTGGAAAGCAAGTTTTGCTTTCATCCAGTTAGGTATTTTACTATGTAGTAAAGACCTGTTGATCAAATACAGGTGAGAAAGCTTTGGGCCTTAATAAATTATTTCCTTTCTGATGCAGTATTTTATAAGAAGATAAGTGATTTCTGAGCATTTATAGGATCTGTCTCCCTGCTCAGACATCTCTGATGTCTATGAAATAAAAAAAAGAGATAGGACTGTATTTTAGCAAGCATAATAGAAAGTGCTGAAAGAGGGCACCTAGATGGCTCAGTTGGTTGAATGTCCCAACTCCTCGTTTAGGCTTAGGTCATGATCCAGGATTGTGGGGTTGAACCCCATGTTGAGCTGAGCATGGAACCTGCTGAAGATTTTCTCCCTCCCTCTCCCTCTCCCTCTCCCTCTCCTCTCTCTCTCTGTCTCTCTCTCTCTCTCTCAAATTAAAGAAAAAAAAAGGGCTGAAAGAGCCCTCAGAGATTACCTAATCCTACCTTTCGGTTTCACAAATAAAGGTGCTAAATCCAGAAAAAACATCTTCCTTCTGGTAAGAATACATTATATTTTTATGGCATTTTCTCCTGGTTACCCCATGGCTAATGAGCTCTAAAATTTCTTAGGTTTCCTTCTCTACAATGCCTAATCTAATAGTGCCCTTCTTTGGTTTCTTAATAATGTATGTCATCAATGTTAGATACATTTCTCCAAGCAGGACTTTGGGCTTACAATAAACATCTCCGGGTTTGGGCACCTGGGTGGCTCGGTTGTTAAGTATCTGACTTGCTCAGGTCATGATCTCACACTGTTTGTGAGTTCGAGTCCCAAATCGGGTGGGCGCCTTGCTTTGAGTGAACATGTGCCCCACTTTGGGTAAAACACAAGCCCCAGGTGAGCCCCACTTCTCTCTCTCTCTCTGCTCCTCATGGAATTCTCTCTCTCTCCGCCCCTTTCTCTCTCAAATACAGACAAAAAATATCAGATCTCTGGGTTCTTCTAAATCAAGCTGTATAACTCAGCCTGATTGGTGCTTGTTTAGTTTTCTCTTGCTGTATTACAGATTACCTCAAATTTAGCAGCTCTACACAACACCTATTTATTCATATACAAATGTATGTATATTTGTATGTGTACTTATATGTATGCTTGTGTGTTTGTATGTATGTATGTATACATATGTATGCATACATTAGGTATATCACGCACATACCTTGATTAGGTTTTAAATATTAGAAATCCAACTTTTTTTTTTAACGTTTTATTTATTTTTGAGAGACAGAGACAGAGCGCGAGTAGGGGAGGGGCAGAGAGAGAGAGAGGGAGACACAGAATCTGAAGCAAGCTCCAGGCTCTGAGCTATCAGCACAGATCCCAATACAGGGATCTAACCCACAAACTGTGAGATCGTGACCTGAGCCAAAGTTGGATGCTTAACCAACTGAGCCACCCAGGCACCCCAGAAATCCAACTTTTTTTTAAGCAACTAATTTTGGATGAGGACATTTGTTTTAAGATGCTGAAAGTATTTGCTAGTAAGATTCAAACTTATTTTCATTAGGGCAGGGGAATCTAAAGGTTTTTAATTTCCTATTTAAATTTTTAAAAATTTGTTTAATTTGTAAAGGATGAAATAATAAAATTATTCATGACAGCAAAACATGAAGTTGGTAAATGAAAAAAGTATTTTTGAGTGGTATAAGAATAGTTTCAAGATCATATGCTGTACTTTTAAGTACAATTTTGAATTTAGTACATTATACCAGGATCTAAGTGTTCTGTATACTGTATTCTGTAAATGTGCAGGAAAAAATACTTCAAATTATCAATGATTTTTGTAAAAAATATTTTAATTCTTTTCTATTTCAGGTAGAATTCCATATTTGTGTGGAATATGGTTTTTTTCATAATTGTACTTTTTGTAATTATACTTTTATTACTACTGAGATGATATGTGCTATATCAAAAGTCATTTTTCTTTCCACATTTTTCTCCTCTGAAGAACTATTTTAGAGCATTATTTGTATGTTATTTAATAGTACTTTATTTAATAGTAGTACTTTAAAAAAAACTTTTAAGTGCATGTGTGATTTTAACATGGTGTTTGTTCAAAATGTTCCCTGAAGATGCTAGTAGAAACAGAAACAGCCATAAGAGACAATATAAAAAGAAAGGAAACTTCTTGTTATGAAATAGACAGTTTTCACTACCTGCCTTGTCTGAAGGAAACTGTAATAGGAAGAGTATAGATGAGAAAATAATTAAAGTAAATTTCATGTACTGATGCTAAAAGGTAGATGTTTTATTAGCTTAAAACTGGAATAAAAAATAAAGGACTATCCTAGTGACAAAGAAATAATATTTGGTATAACTTTGGCCAAATTTTAATTGAGGTGTTTGGCCTTGTAAATTAGCTAGCATACTTCACAATCCTGTTGCCTATTAACCCACAACTTCTATGTCATGGTGACTTTAAGTTGGTATGTTAAAAGGAGTAGAATTCTTGGACTGCCAGAGGAGTGAAATTGACATCATTGTGTAACCCATATGTTGTGTGTGGTTAGCGTCTTTTATGGACAATATTTTAATTTCATATAGTCTGGGTAAACTAAAACTGGAGTTTTTTGGGGATTCTGGTGATTCAGCAAAGGAAGTAAGACACATAGCTCAAGAATCACATTGTTCTCTTTCTTGCTTTGTCTTATTTACATGTCAAATACATTAGCTGTGATGTAGCACACTGTGCTAAGTAAAGTGATTACTTGTGGTCTCTGGTAGTATCCTGAAGTCTCCATAGACCTTTTATGCCCTACCCTCTCTTCCAGCTGATAAATGAGTGAAGAGAAGTTCTATCCCCTTGTGTCCATTTTGCATAAGAATGGCAGTATGTCAAGGATAGATGAAGATAAATGAGATTGCATAATGTCAGGTAGACACATTGTCTTTAGATGGATGACCATCTGGATTTCCTCAGCATCAAGAGACTTTAGAATAGCAAACAGCTAAATTATTATTGATGCTCAAATAATAAAGAGCCCAAACTGTAGGAGTTTAATATTGTTCTTTGTTAGGTGGTTATTTGTGTGCCCCCTTTAGAAGAATATAATGTCCATCCAGTCCATGACATTTCATGCATTTGTGTTGAATATTAAGAAATGGTCATGTCATCTTTCCCAGGTGTTAAACAAACCTTAGAATAGTTTAGTTTTATGAATAATTTTGAATTTAGTCATTTGATTACTGTTAGTACTGATGCCTAGTATATAATAAGCCTTCAGTAATTATTACTATTGTAAAGTATCATCCCTAGTCTATAAACCCATTTTTCTTATAATAATAAATTTGTAGAACTTTGAAAATTCTTCTCTAAGTCATCTATGGAAAAGATTGTTCAGCTGAGGAAAATTTTGGAAGTTATATAGAGATAACTGAATAACCCAGGGTTCAGAATTATTTTCTAACTTAGTATGTTTAGCTCATGGATGTAATAAACTGGCATTAATTTTCCTTCCAGTTTTTCTGGAAGAGGAAATGTACTTGATGGGTTAAATATTTTTATTATTATATTATTATATTATTATATTATAAATAAATATTATTTTTATTATTATAAAAATAATATTTTTATTTCTTGAATATTGCACACTAAAAGTTGGTTTTATGGATATTTTTGTAACATGGAAAAAAGTTAACATGTTTAGAAAAGTCAGCAAATGAGAAGCTAATATATGTGGCTTCTAATTTTCAAGTGAATTGTGTTCCAAAAATACCTTTAGAAGAAACTGTACAAGTATGTTTGTAGATAGCTTTTCTCCCTACTCTTCCTAGTTATGCCATTCTTTTAATATTGCTGTTCTCAGGCAGTGCCTGAATGGCTCAGTTGGTTAAGCATCTGACTTCAGCTCAGGTCATGATCTCAAGGTTCATGAGTTCGAGCCCCACGTTGGGCTCTGTGCTGACAGCTGGGAGCCTAGAACCTGCTTCGGATTCTGTGTCTCCCTCTCTCTCTCTCTGTCCCTCCCCTGCTCATGCTCGCTCTCTCTCTCTCTCTCTCTCTCTCTCTCTCTCTCTCTTTCTTTCAAAAAAAAAAAAATTGCTGTTCTCAGCTAAGTCAGAACTAAAAAGCAAACTTCTTGACCTAATAGATTTTCAAATTTTAAATACCTTAAAATTCTTTACCTTCTTGTATTTTAGGAAATTTTATATTTATT